ATCCCAGATTCATCGACCTCCTTACCCCCATCTTCAAACCCTCTCATTCTTAGGCTTGTCTTTGTTGCCTTCGGGAGTTCGGAGGGCTTTGCAAAGTGCATTGAACAGAATCAGGTACTGATCATCATCAATGTATGAGCTTTTCCATGTCTTGCCAAACAAAATCACCATCAGAGGGCTACTCTGCTTTGCAGGCTTGCAGTGATAGATCTAATGTCATGGAAGAATGATTGGTTCCTTAGACGAAGGCTACAATGGGTATGGTGTTTTGGGAAAGCAGGTTGCAGGTGTGGCTGCTTTAGAAGATTGAGAAAGCATTTGGAGGCCTTGGGCTTGCTTCTGCATTTGAGGACGTCGGTGGAACTGTAGAAGGGGAGAGATAGAGAGAGAGGGTTATTGGTTTCAAGAAATAAAAGAAAGAAGAAACCATTTGATGGTTTCGATGGTTTCTTATCTGGTAGTTTCAAGAAATAAGAATAAAGAAAGAAGAAACCATGATGGTTTCAAGAAATAAGAACCAAGATGGCAAACAATGAAACAAAGAAAGAATAAAAAAGGGAAAAGGTAGTGAAGAAAAGTTATTGGCCGGAGGAACGGCTTGGTGGGTTGATTAAAATATATGTATATATCGGTTTGGGATTCCCGAAAAAAGAAAAATGTGAAACCGATTCCCGTACTGAACGGTTCGGGATCGGTACCAAATTTTCGAGATTTTCGGTTCGGGGTTTTTTCGGTTTGGGATCGGGATTTTTTCGGTATGATTCGAGATTTTGGGATTTTTTTTCTAGCCCTCACTTATAGGTGACAACCTAACTTTAGCGTAATTTCGTTTATGATTCATCATCATAAGAATTCAACGAAAGATAGGAGTGCCGGCTGTCGACTACCTGATAATATCCCATTTCTCCTTTATCCGGGCTTGAGACTGATAATGTAAGATAAACTTACACACGTATAGTTGCTTTGAAGCTTGATTAATGAGGAAAATTACACAATTTGGATAATTGCATCCATCCCATTCTTCCTCACAGATTCAATTGGCGCAGAAAAAACACAGAAACAAGAGTTTCCCCAAAAAAAAAAAAAAAAAAAAAGAAACAGAAACAAGAAGGTATGCAAAGAAGAAGAATTTACCTAACCAGAGCGATGATGGTGACCCTGGAATTCGACATTTTTGAAAGTCAAATTCCTCAATTAATTTCAAGCCTGGAATTCGACATTTTTGAAAGTCAAATTCCTCAATTAATTTCAAAGATCCGAGAAGAAGAAAAGGAAAAGCAAAACCCTAATTTCAATCTCTCTTTCTCTAACGCTGCAGTGCAGATGCTGCGTTTTGCAAAAGAAAAGGTACCATCATCCATTCCATCGATGCTGCGTTGTCCTTGCGCGGAGTTGGCAGTTGCCACCCGGTCAACTCAATCTCCTGGGATGGCCCCAAGATATTCCCGCGGACCCACCGCCTTTCAAGCAAACTTATTTAGAGATTAATATAATTCAGGCCCATTGCACAACTATAGTTTATGTCAACTAAATTACGTAGGAATTAATTCTACATAAAAATTACGCAATGGCATAATGTTAAATGTCAATTACTATATTAAAAAGTTTACAGAAAAATATAAAAATGTTATATTTTTATCCAAAACTGTAAACTATTATTAAGTCACGACTTTTAATCAATTTTATGAAGTCTCAAAAATCATCATAAATTTGCAAAAATTAAAAGTTAAAAATGCGCATGGCGTTTTTGCCGCAATTACGAACAACTATAATGTCTATACATTTAGGTGCGGGTTTAATTTCCAAGGATTCCTTCCTCTTAATATTCAACTATTTAACTCACTATTATTATCATTTGTAAAAATAAAAAAAAAATAAAAAATAAAAACAAAAGTTTTAAAAAGCACCAATAGGTGTTGATTATCTATTCTAAAATTGAGGAGGGATTTGACTGTAGCTTAGCTACATTCAAGTGATTGACACTTGATTTTGCTTTATTTACACCATTACCATCATATATGTGACTCGGTTGGAGGGTAATTATAAAAAGTTAGGAGGGTAATTTTGTTTCTGACCAGCTTTCATATATTTACAGTTTGGCCATTTTTGTTGTGAGATGGGCCCTCGATTTTGCATGATTTACATTTTTTCCATTGTCAACAAGCATGGGTTGCAGACAAGGTATTAAATATCAGTAATATCGGAAATATCGGTAGTCCAAAAACACGGAAATATCGATGGAAATATCATGATATTATCGATATCAATAAAAATAATATGGAAACCACGGAAATTGTAAGAAAAACTTGGAAATTTTTATTGAAACTTTGCAGGATGTTTGTTTAGTCAATTATCTATTAGTTTATCACAAAAAATTGGAAGGAAATGCATTGCATGATGGATTTAACTAATTTAAGTTGATTATATAGCGAGTTGGCAAACATTGTGAGTGTAGAAAATATGTAGTAATTAATGAAAGAAGTTTAAACACACCATAATCATTTATATATAATGAATTAGTACAATATTGGGAGGTTTTATTTAGGATATTAAAAAAAAAAAAAGAAGTGAATAAAATGATGAATTTGACACTTTAAATTTCTTACGCATAAGCATGCGTCTAGGCGTTGAAGTTCCAAATTATAGTATATCAATTAACGATTGAAAATCAATACGTTGAATAAGACTAAACTTTAATTTGGATGCCGATTATGTTTTTTCAAGTTTATATAAAGTAAAAGAATTGAATTTTGGAAGCCAAGAGTGTGTCAATTGTTTTATAATTCGTCCGAATACATATATCAGGTTGCTACTTAACGTAATTTGAAAGTATATCTAGTGCAAGGACTTGTCTTTTTTTGTTGATAAGCAAAGGGTTTGTAGCTTTTTTTGCTAAGCAGTAGAACATATTATATTTGTTTAATCTTTAGCATTTGATGGTTGTCCACAAATATAGGATAGAATGCCCCAAATTAGATCTGGCTATAGGATAGAATGCCCCAAATTAGATCTGGCTCTTACCTAGTTGGAGTCACAAGTTCACATGTACCAGCCCTTGCGGCAAAACGTTTTGGTTTCTGTTATTGCTAGAGTCCCACATCGCCCATGCGAGGGCAGTAAGCAAGCAAACAGGCCTATAAAACCCACATTCCCAAGCTGAGAAAAGCATGCCTTGCTTGGCCTTTGGGCTATGATCAAGTGTAGTATGTGTTGAGACTTCTCAGCATTTTTAAGTATTTTTGGGTTTTATCTCGCGATATTATCGATAATATCAGGATATATTGCCCAAATAATGCATTAAAATACTGATAATATCGTTTTTCGATATTATCGCGATAATATCGACAAAAATGTCGATATATTGACGATAATGAAGTGGTTGAGTATGAAAATATCGTCCTAAAAAAAAATATATTATCGGCGAAATATCGCCGATAATATCGATATTTAAAACCTTGGTTGCAGAGACAGAGAGGGAGATAGGTGTGGGATGGCAAAGAGGGGAGGGGAAGGGAGGGAGTAGGATTCTCTTCCTTCTTTTTTTCCCCTCTCCTTCCCTTCCCTCCTATTTGAACAATCACGGTTAAGTCACGTTAACATCTTATATTAATTTTACATAAAAAGAGAATGTGAGAGGAGGAGAAAGAAGGAGATGGAAAGAGAAGAAAAGAGAATCCTACTCCGAGGAAGAGGGAGGAGTGAGGCTGCCTAAAAAAGGAGGTAGGGTTGATTTTTTCCTCCTCAAATCAAGGGTTGGTGTCGGGATTGAGGTGTCAAAATTGCCACTAGAAGCCTAAATTAATGGGTAGATGTCTGTGACTGAGAGATTGAGAGATTGAGATGAATGGGAAAGACAGACAGAGACACACCCATTTGGCCTTCATTTCCCCTTTCCCAAACCCTAGCAGCCACAACACCAACTCGACGATCCTCCAGAACCCCAAAAATGAGCCCATCTCTGCAATAGCACCTAGGATATTTAACATTGTTTTCTTTTCCATGTAGTTTTTCTCATGTTTAACATCTGCTTTTGTTTATGCATTTGATTCAAGAGCTATTTTTATTGGTGTTAATTTTGGGTTGCATATCCACAAACTAACCCAGTTAATTTTCTTAGTGTTGATGTACAAGGAGAACTCTCATTGCATCAACTTGAACAAACATTCTTCTACTTAGTTGCTAAGCCTGTTACTTTTTATGCTCTATTTTCCTTCTCCATTTCCAGTTGAATGGATTGGTTAAAATGTTTAACTATATAACTTTCTTTTGCATGATCCTATACTATATATCTCTGTTGTTGCACTAGATTTAACCTTTGTTGCTGACTAATGTTTGATGGTGAACTATGCAATGCTTTTATTGAAGAGTTCCTGAACTGGGACATGGCATGGGCTTTGCCTGCATTATATGTCACACTTATGAGATTAGGGTTCTAGCGGTGAGGGTAAGACCAGTAATTTAGTTTTGTTTGAATAACGAGATATATGCTTTATTTCGTAATTGGTTGTTGATGTCTTGGGAAGATTGATCAAGTAAGACAATTATGCGTAGTTTTGTAGACTGGTTTTTTCTTTATTGAACATTAGCATGTAAATATATAGTGATATGGATGAGAATATATTTTAATACATTTCACATGTTTAACACAGTTTTAAAACCCGCAGCATTACGTGGGCTCAATTTCTAGTGACAAACTATATTTGTCCTGTCTCAGGAACACATCCAAGTGAACGTTGGTTTGAAGCACAAAAGCTATGTGGCAAAGCTTCATTTGGTTTTGTGGATAAGGCAAAGTTATATTACAAGAAAAGAATGCTGGGGTTCATGAGAATACGGCAAAGTCTAGGGGCTGCACCATAATTCTAGAACCAGTGTGTATCCCAGAAAAAAAATAAAATAAAAAAAAAGAAAAAAAAGAAAAGGAAAGCGTGATTTCGCACACACTTTTCCTTTTCTGCACCTTCCGAGTTAATATTGAACCATTAGAGGGTTAATTTTGATTGAATAAAACAAAAGATCATCAAGGAGAAAAAGAGTACGGAAATTATTTCTCTCGAAAAATTGGATTCAAAAGATGAGCCCTCTTTTTTTTTTTTTTTTTTTTTTTTTTTTTTTTTTTTTTTTTTTTTTTTTTTGCAAATACAGAAGTGGACTGTTTACACATAACTTACAATACACACTCAAAGCTTGTTACATGTTTGCTGTCGATTCTCTGATCTCTTCCAAGGAGATGGTCTGCAATGCATAAGAATTATTGAGGTAAGTAATTAGGTTATAAAATACCGTAACCGAAGAACACGACTACATAAGATTTCTCAAAGAATGATGCATAAATTACCTGTTCCGGTCCGGCAAAATCATTGTCAGGAGTGAGAAAGAGCATGCAGTGGCATTCCTTCCTGCCAACACCGATTTACAGTTTTCATAAGAACCAACCAGGTTTACATGTGTACACATCTCATTTTCATATAACGATCGTTTGAGTTCAAATGTTAGAGCTAAAGTGAGTTGATAAGCTTGTGACTGTCAAGCTGGATTGAGACTTGCAGCAACTATTCGTGTTTCGCTGGAAATTTCCAAGTAGATTTTGTTTCTTATTATATTTTTAGCCCTTAAAAATATCTAACATAAAGCCTACTTACCTTCGATTTGAATGTCTGAGCACCAAAAATGTAATGCTGCTAAAGATTTACCAATATATCATAATCTAGCACGGGTTTTAAGTTTTAACACTACTTTTCTGTTAGGTATACAAATTTACAAACAAATGAAATCGAAACTGTAGAGAAAAACTATTTGATATACTAATCTTATAAAATTATGAAACGATACAAACCTCTCTCTCATGGGAACACATGGGCAGTTCCAAAAGCCTTGGCCTGCCTCGGCAGGTTTATCATCATAATGCCTGCAACACAACAAGTTCAGACTTGGAAAGTACAATATGACATGAATATGAATCAAGTTTGACACTGGTAAGGTGTTTGAGGCATAGGGCAAAGTAAGAACACCATAGACTCATGGTCAAGAAAAACTATCAAAGAACAGATGCTTACCGACAAGGGCAGAGTGGTGCGCCCAACGAATCTTTATGGTCTGCCAATCCCTGTTGAAGTTCCAGGATGAGTTTCTCTCACATATATCATCGTATAAATACAGTTTAAGCAACTGCAACGACGATAATGAAGGATCCAAATATACATAATCTCAGGATGCCATATCCATCTGTAAGCGATCTTTTTGCCCCAAATAAAATCTCTTAGAATTGTGACAAAATGATAAAGAACTACAGCAGCAAGAAACTGAACTGAAGAATTATGCATATGGGGTTCGATTGGAGGGAATAATTTAAAGGTGTTTCATATTCTATAGGATCTAGGGGGTCAGGGTACATGTTCTTTACTGTTCCAACCCACAGTGGAAGGCTGGAAGCTCATGAAGTAATCGGTTTTGAAGCCTGATTATTTTCAATATGAATCCCAATCGAAAGAATCAATGACTTCTTCATCGGAATGCTAACTAAAAGATTATTTCTCGAGTTGAGTCATTCAAGCATACAACGACAACGAAACTACTACGACAGTTTCATTTTTTTTAATTTTATTAGATAGACAGTTCCAATTAAGCATACAACAATACAAGTAAAATATCCAACAAGTAAATTAAAACACACCTTGATAACAACAGAAGTAACTCCCTTATCGACACAGAAATATGTTCCGGACTTGCGAGCATACTGCTCAGAGAACTTCCTCATGATTTCAACAGACTTATCTGACGGCTCCGCTGCCAGAAAACACATAAAATTTAAACTATCCATTAATGCAACATTCACGAGCTAGATTCTGACTGAAGCTGAAAAATATCAAAAAGTCACGAGCTTTGCAATCAAACAACAAAATTATGAAATCCCAAACTCTAATTGAAGCCGAAAAATGTCTAAAATCTATGCTCCCTCAAGGTTCAAGTCTGCTAATCAAGCAAGTTTGTTTGTTTTTTTTTTTTTTTTTGTTAATTTGGCATCGCATCTAATCTAAGAACGCTCAATTGGTGCTGTAAATCTGAAGGCTCACGAATTATAAACTCAATAAATTAAAATACAAAAAAAATGAAAAAAAAAAAAAGAAGATTAAGAAGTTGAAGAATTGCTAACCTTTAGCTCGGATTACAGGGCGGCGCGTGGAGCGGTTGAGAGGAGAAACGAAGGACGAAATGCCGGCGGCGAACGACGGAGCTTGGAGTTGCGGAGTCATGGCCTCTGAGACTGATGAGAGAGTGGACCGCTGTGAAATTAAATTATTTTTTCTGGGTAATAATCCGTTCGCTTATATAATTTCTGGGGGTTTTAGTTTTGGAATTTTGGGGATTTATGATTTAATTTTTGGAGGGTTTTGGTAATTGGGATTTAATAGAGTTGTGGTAGGAGGAGCCGTTGCCCGCCACACGTTGTGAATATCGGTTAAGGAAACACCCCAACCACTCGGTCCGCTCGCCGCCTCAACCAACGAATCCAATCCCCTTCCCTTCTTTTCCTTATATTATAGGCCTTGGCCCTTTTCCCTTCTCGGTTTATCGGCCCAACCCATTTATATCTGGGGGAATTTATCAATTCTGACCTCATATTGCTAATTGGTTTTATGATGGAACCTCAACTTACTTTATGATATCAGAGCATGTTGTCTCATATGTGAAGCTCAATGGCCGCACGTGCTCCATTTCACCCGATTTGTGTTGTCCACATGTTAAGATTGAAAATTCATCACATGTGAGGGGACGTGTTGAGAGTGAATTCTACATCGGAGAAGGAATGGACCTTGTACTTGAAGTAGTTGGACTACTCTCCATATTGGCAATTAGTTTGGTAGTACCTTTGTTGGCGGTTTGAGTAAAGTCACATTGCGAGTAGTCGTAATTAAGTTTGAACTCCTTATTCATGAAAAGTATTCAAACTTGAGGCCTCTAACATACAAGTAGAGAGAATTATTGCTAAACCAGGGCGCAAGTGGCATAAAATGCAATCTTTAATCTTCAAACAAATTGGAGTGAATAATGGTGTGAATTGAACTCAGATTTTACATCCGACTTCAGTCCTGCTGTGCCGGAAAATAAGATTTTCCGTCCACAGCCGAAAAGAAAGGTATGAACAAGTCTTAAGAGCTTGATATACATGGCTTGCATTTACCAAAGCCAATAGCCTTAGCCAATAAGTTGCCTACTTGATTTTCTAAAGTGTGAGACCGTTGTCCAATTTCATGAGTCGAGTTTCTTCTCTACTACGAGCACCAAACATGTACCACATGAAATAATTCAATTTGATTGAAATACATAGTCTTGTCGTTGCCCAGCTAATTGCCAAACGGGGCCAAAAGAAGTGTTGGCAGAACCAGAACCATTAGCTAGCTAGGGCAAGCAGTGGCGGAGTCAGCATGGGGTTATTGGTTGTTCTTGACCCCAATAACTTTAAAAACCCCATATGTATTTGTTTGTATATTGTATTTGATTCCCATAAACAGTTATGACAAACTAAATTACAATTTCCTCTTCCTACTTCTTCTATTTTATTCTATCACATTTGTCTTCCCTTTATCTCTTCTTGTATGAAATACTTTAGTTGAAAAGGTTTGACAGTCTTCAACAACAGTGTCCTACATCTACCCTCAACAAGCCTCTACTAGTAATTGTAGTTGTCGACATATGTTGGCATAAACTTTCGGCATATGTTTACAGAAATTGGCAGGTGTCTACTAGGTGCTCAATGAAATGCCCAATGAAGCTTTTTGGTTGATATTATGATCTCATTATTTAAAAAATTTGGCTACGCCACTAAGGGCAAGGCATAATTTCATTGAGAAATTCTTGAGTGAAGCAAACCCTATACAGTACTTTCTCCATTTCATCTGTATTCTATATTAATTATATATGTAATCTCGATATCTCTGTTAATCTACACTGTCAAACAAAGGTAGAAAAAAGATCACCATGACCAGCTCTCTCTCTCTCTCTCTTACAGTACTTTCTCCATTTCATCTGTATTCTATATTAATTATATATGTAATCTCGATATCTCTGTTAATCTGCACTGTCAAACAAAGTGGAAAAAAGATCACCATGACCAACTCTGTCTCTGTCTCTGTCTCTCTCTCTCTCTCTCTCTCTCTCTCTCTTCCCAAACTAGCTAATATAAGCACTTCAAGAGAGCATAATATACACAAGAAGGGTAGGAGCACAACATTTTGAAGTTTCACATGCATACACAAGAAGGGTAGGAGCACAACATTTTGAAGTTTCACACGTGGGAATATGGAGAATAACTCAATCTTTTATAAATCCTTACATGGATTAATCTTTCACTGGTGTCGGATTTTGTCTTCGTATTCTCACACGCCCCTTATGTGAAACTTTGTCTTCACAATCTCATACACTCCATTTTCAAGTCTAACACGTAAACAACACAAACATGGTGATATAGAGGCCATACTTTAAGATTCACATGTGAGACAACATGCTCTGATACCATGAAGAAAGTTGAAATTCCACCATAAAACCAAATAAAAATAAGGAAAACTAATGAAAATGGTTTGAAAACTTTGAGTATTAACGATAAGGACAAAATAAAAGGTAAAGTGAATAGTACCATGATTGACTTTTTAGAGTAAAAATGTGATTTTTCGTTAAAATGAACAATACCGCGGATTTTTCGTTAAAACTCGCATAAAAATATGGAGAATAATTCAATTTCTTATAAGGTAAAATTTATCCCTCACCGATGTGAGACTTTATCCTCACACTTTATCCTCACATTCTCTCACAAGTACATCACCCATATCTGACAAAATGTACACAGCATTCATATAATTTGGGTAAAAGAACAAGATTTTCTTACTTCGCAACCTGGACAGATCGATGAGATTCCCAGCTTAAAGTGCATGTTGTTTTATATGTTCATGTAAAAATCAAGTGCACACTTAATTTCAGCAATACTTAGGGATTAATTTTAGATGAAAATTATTATTTTCCAAAACCAGTACATGTTATAGGCTAAATACAAATAATTTTTTCCACCAGAAAAAATTATACAATGACTTCCATTCCATCATGAATTTTGAAACATAGATAAATTGATCCACATATAATTAATAGTTCTGATCATTGCAACAGGATAATCGAGAGAGAGAGAGAGAGAGGAGTTTCTTACTTAAACAGTAACTTGAGTCTTGATAACTAACAGACAAGACCAGGAACGGAAAACCCTCTATCTTTAAAGCTAAAACACATGATCTAAAGTTGTTCACACAAATAAAGTATGTAAAGAAACAGGTTGCAAGAACATGAAAATTTGAGATTTGCTTGCTTTGATACAACACACTAGCAATAGCAAATCGTCGTCGTCGGACCACGATGCTTGATTCCCCAAAAGCAACAAAGACTTGGACAGAATCTTTGAAATATATCAAGGAGAGGAGAGAGAGACTCATCATACTCTTTCACTTTCTCTCACCAAGGAGTGAGAAAGGTAGTAGCTATAGCTGAGCTGAGCTAGGGTTTCAGCTGGCCGCTCGAAATCATGATGAGAAAGTTTTCTTTTCTCTTTGGGTCGTCGCTTCTTCTTCTTCTTCTTTTTTGTTGGTGATAATATTAAGGACAATGATGATGCTGCTTTTGTGGTGGGGTGGTTGAAGGAGGTGATGAAGTTGCAGGAGGGGATGGTGTGGTAGCAATGATGGCGATAAAGAAGGTAAGGAGAGGACATCATGATTGCTGTTTGGCTTCTGGCCTTGAAAGAAAGGCAAAGAAAATGTCTAGGTTTTTTGTGCCTCTCTCTCTCTCTCATCTGACACATATGCTTAGAGGGTAGAGAGAGATTGTGTGTGAGTGATGATGACATCCATTGATCAGGCCAAACCCTAGCTACTTTTCATCTGAACTCAAGGCGGGTACGTGTCAACGAAAATCCTCATTTTCATCTCTTTATTTTAAAGCCACTATATGCATTATTGAACTATTTGATAACCCTTTTAATTTTTAATATTTTTAAAAAACTTAAAACTAAAAATTTTGTTTAAAATTAATTTCAGTTTAATTAATAAATAAATAAAAATTAAAAGACAAATTCTAAAAACTAAAAAGGATAGTTTGTAATTTTTTTGTTTTTAGTTTCTTTTTTAAATTAAATATAATTAACGAATCATATGACTAGTATAATATCTAATCTAATAAAATCTATCGTTTAACAAAAAATAAAACATTTTAATTTTTCAATAAAATAAAACTGAAATTAAAAACAAAATAATTATTAAAAAAGAGAGTTTGTATTGTTTTCTTTGGTACAATGGATGGTTTCTCAGCCAACTTTGTAAGTGTCGTCTCACCTAGCCGGAGTCTAGCAGATTAGACGGATGCTTATGCAAGTTTAAGTGTTATTTCTTAATTTTTAAATACTAATTAATTCAGGCAACAATTAGTCACCTAATGCCTATGAGCTGCTAAACGAAGATTTTTATAACAGTGTCTAGAAGTTATATTAGGCTATCCAAATGTTAAAATGCAAAAGTTGATTCAGGTTTTTAAACCATAAAAACTAATATTGATTAATTATTGAACTTAGGAGTTAGGGCGGGTGGAACATTTGGAGCCACATATCTTTGACTTTGACTGGCTTGATAATGCCAGGTTACCCGTCATTACTTAAAGCTTAAAACATCCAAACACATCCGTAATCCACTTTCACAGACCTTAACATTATCAATAATGTTATTCATACTATGTTTTTATACTATATTTTTATATCATTTTAGATGACATCTGATGTGGATAGCCACATCATTTGAAAAATTTACAAAATCCAAGGAAATAAAGAAGAAAGACGTATACTACAATTATTATTTAATTAACTAGTTTTTCTTAATTATTATTTTATTAAATAATGAATTAAATTTAAAATTTTGATTAATTCAAATGATATGACTATCTATATCAAATGTCATCTAAAATGATATGAACTAAACATTATTTTTTCGATATCGACAGAGAAACAAAACGCATGCTTCTAGGCAATGGCTGGTGGGGCCTGTAGTGTCAGGACATTCTCCAAATAAAGCATCGTGGGTTCCACTTCCACACAAGTGGAAAAAGGAAAAAGACTTAAATGTGCGAAAGATTTATATGAGACGAGTAACATCTCGAGGTAACGACGGAATATCAAAAAATTTTAACTTTCAATACGACAACTTAGGTTGGAAACACTGTCGCATTAACATCCTGTTTTAGGAAAGAGATCATCTTCGGATCTCTTTCACCAAAGTTATCAAGTTCATTTATCCGAATTTTTAAAATTTAATCTAACGGTTAAAATTATTATAAATTTTTAAGGGACCTTTATTTGTAGCCGTTAAATCAAATTTTAAATTTCCGAATGAGTGAACTTAGTGACTTTGGTAGGAAAGATCCGAAGAGAATCTCTTTCGCATGCTTTATGCATGTTCTCAAAATGAGGAGTTTT